ATATTTATGAATCTATCGTGTTCTGCAGTCGACACACAGATATCATCACTAGCTGAGAACATAATATTAGTTATTATGCTCACATGTCCAGTGAAGCTCTTGAGAACCTGTTTTGATCGCAAATCCCACAATTTGATGGTATGTCCTGCGGATAACAATTTGGTCTCATCATGCGAAAGCGTAATAATATATTTAGTCGTTTGGGAGTCAACTTTCCATTTACTATTACAAATATATGAGACATATAAGTTAATAACTAATAAATTATTAAACCTATTTTAGCTTACAATACCTAATTATATCCCCCCTTTCAAAATCCCATTCAACAATATACGTGTCTTCAGCGCAAGAATAAGCTTTTTTTCCATTTTTAGAAAAAATAAAATTGTTAATCGGTAATTTATGTGAACCGCTCAGTGTTTTTACAATGTCTCCGTGAGCAATTGAGTAAATGGCAATAGAACCATTCTGCAATCCGAGAGCAATAACTTTACTAAATTGTTGAATTTGTGATGATAGTTTCTTTTTCTTTTTTGGTGGAGGAGCGTCCTAAAGATGAAATTGGTTCTATCAATATAAGAATTTACAAATCTATATATAACGAGGAAAGTGAAAGGACTATGCGTGCCTTGTACGACTTACAACTTTGCCGTTCAAATCCTCGTCATATACTTTTCCCCAAGACAAGCAGGTGAATTTATCTTCTTTATCCGAAGAAAAATCATTGTTAACTGTACCCGTATGCGGGTCAAATACCCTGAGACGGTGACGATCTACACTTTGAGTGACTAATGCAAAAAATTCCGCAGTAGGTAAATCAAAACTTGCTAGAAGCGATTCAACTTTATTAAAATTCACAGTTGAGTGTGTCTCGCTGATAGCTGTATTTAAGTTGTTTCTTGGCTTGTTCTTCGTTCTCCCCATAATTTTTAAAAAATTGCGAGATGAAATATGATTGGTCAATTTATGCCGTCAATTAGTGAAAATTTATCTGGAGAGTACTCCACTCCCTACAAAAATTACGTAATAAATGGCTTCGCTAACTTTGTAAATGACTTTGCTGACACTATCATTTCCTGATATATATTTACTATTATTCATTTTTATTTATTTATTTATTTTATTCGAGATCATTTAAAAATAAAAATAAGCTATTTATTTCTAATATATGCTTGAGGTGTTTAAAGTACTGTAAGCACATTTAATTTCATTTATTCTAATGTTTATGATTCGACAATCAAGACAATTAGAATAGATTATTTTTTTTATTTAATTTATTCTATTCCAGGTCGATCTAGTAGGTGGGTATCAATTATAAGGGTGGGAATCGATTCTTTGATAAGTTTTATTAAATTTATTTCTAAATTATCATTTAATGGTTAAATTTTGCATCTTTATGCATAATAATACCCATT